TAAGTGTAAACAGGGATCAAACTCCTACAGGAAAATGGGCCTGGCCTTCGATTCCCAAGCTGTACTGGCCCTCAAGTACTTGAACCAACATGAATCTTACGGTAGAGCAACCACTTCTTCACCAGCCTCACCTAAGAATGTGCAAGTTTTCCTCCCTGTCAAAGTGATGTTTGTCAGGAGTCATGAAAGGTACAGGACTGCTGATGGCACACAGGAAGCAGAAAAGCTCAAGCAGTAACAGGGTCTCCCACAGTCACATCTGTGAGCAGAGCTATGGGATTTCACACATTGCCTGGCAGGGGCACAGAGAGAGACACACCCATTTCACAGTATTCTTCTACATACAGCCTTCTCTATATGGGCAGCAAGTTCACAGCTGAACAAGTCCTGGGCTATATGTTTTCAAAGCATAATTGCTAATCGTGGTCCCAGTGTGGCTTTCAAGGGGGTTTTGTGTACCATCAAATCAAGAACTTAACATGCTGGCTGGCTACTCCCACCTACTGTGGAAGCCAAGGCAATTATATTAAAAGGTAGAAGAGCAGTGTGACTCCTTCCCATCACAGATACTAAAGACTCCCCATCTTGGTGATCAAGAAGAGAGTGCAACTTTTTTCCCAGCATTATTACAAAAACCAGTCCATTTGCTAGAAGAAATCGAGGCTTACACAATGACACTTTAGTTAAAAAAAGGGTTAAGCTTCCCAAACCAGGCCAATAATATGGAAATAGTTACACAACCTTCATAGGCTCTTCTAATTCCTTTTTGGGACTAAACAGACTTATATTTGTAATACACCCTAGTTTAAAAAAAGCAAAACAAGCTCACAAAGAAAAGCCCTAGCCCCCACCCCCCCAAACCTATGAATAAGAAACATATTTTCAGAAGCAAATCTCATCCTATTTTATCTCCTTGTACAAAAGTATGTCAGTCTCAATTTTTTTAGTCCTGCCCCGTCTCCTTCCCCTCACCCACGCCTTCTTTTCAAATGAAACGAGCCTGTCCCTGTGTCTATCCTCTGGAACAGGATTAAAGTTTCACACTGAGCCTGTTGCTGGGTTCACAGTAGCAGATGATCTGTTTGAAAGCTGTTCATTCAGTTCTGGGCAAGGCAAATTTGCCATGAGTTTTCTTCAACCCACCATCTCCTTTAGCTTACAGGAGCTTTCCTCAGCTCTCAGCACAGCTCCCAGCAACTAACTTTTCTACAATACTTAATAAAATACTTAATAAAGCATCCTTTTCAAAGCATGTGCTATGTTGAAAACACACTTCTTGAATTCTTTAGATCTTCTTGTTTGATGGTGGGAAATGAACATACATATGTGTGTATATATATGTATGTATATATACATATATATATATATATATATATATATACACACTCATCCACCAACTCAGACACAGCGTTACGAAGAATAATGGCAAATCACAGTTCTGTCTCTTACTGAATACTTTAACAGGTCCAGACCTTCTTTAAAAAATAATTTTAAAGTTTTCCTATTGCTTTTTGCTAAGATCACTTGCTCTGCAGATTTTCAGCTTCTATTGAAAGACTGGCATAGATTCTCTGCCAACACAATGCAGCAAATAAGCAACAAAATATTCACTTCAGTGTTAAGTATCAGGTTCGTTTAATTAATTTAATAACATTTTCTGCTGGAAGCTATGTTTCAGCCGCTGGATCCAGAAGATTGTTTCAAAACAGAATCCTTGTGGCCTGCATTTTTGTAATCCACTTGTAGTCCATATCCAGCAGTTTTACTCTTCAAGTCTTCTTTTGGCAGCACTTGGCTTTAAGCAAATGCTCTCTATGATGAAGGCCAGCCACATGCATGAGTCATGCCACTGCAGTGGATAACACAAGCCTTGTCCCAATTACTTTGTAAGAAAAAAAAGACACTTGGAAAATAGGTGTAAGCAAGGTAGGACCGAAATGATTCAGGATCATCTCTGTCAGTGATTTGATCAAAGCCAGCAGATGTGAAAGGGGCATGAAGGGACAGCCTTCAGCACCTGCTGCCTTTTAGAAAGACTAGCACACTCCATTTTTTCTCTCTAGTCTCATGTGTTGACAACCCAAGAACAGTAAATTTCTTAAATGCTGGATACTGATAAATGTGGAGTGTTTTGTATCAGCTGAGCTACAGACCCACCACTCTGCTTTCAGGCATTAATTGGTCTCATTGCTTCTCTGCAACCTTCCTCAGAGCTGTGTGTTTGGCACTTTGTATTTTTGACTGACTCAAAAAAGGTCAATGATATGCCAACCTTGCATATTCCTGCTTCAAATTACTTAACATAACTGTTCACAAGTCTTGCAAGAGCCATTTTAAGCATGAACTTCTGAGATTTCCTGCTGTGAAGATCACTTTAACAACCCTCAAGTGAGTTCTTATTATGAAGCATCCCTTCTTCTGTGGCAGAGCTGAATGAAAGACCAGGGCACTGCTTTCTCAGGAAATCACCAAGTTTGCTCTATCCCATCCCCTCCAGTCCCCAACCTCTGCAAGCAGCCAGTAGTGCCTGCCCTGCCCAGCCCACATTTCTCCTCTGCTGCCATTGCCTGCTCACCCAGGGCTGTGAGGAGCAGGGAGTCCAACAAGCCCTGTGTCTGTGCTCCCTTGGGTGCCACTGGTGGGATCATACACCTTCCCAAGGGTAGTGGTGAAGAGCCAGGGTCATCTTGGTGCCCTCCCAGAGCTGATCTTTAGGTTTGTATGACCTGCTCTGCACAGGCAGCTGAGATGCCATCTCAGGGCTTTGCAACTGCTGCTGGTCACCAGCTCCTGGCTGGCATCCCCAACCCAGCACACACGTGTTGAGAAAGGCACCACTTGTTCCAACAGCCAGAAGTCCCCCAAGGGTTCTCTCCCCACCATCGCTTGCCCCACCACAGGGCTGACCCTTGGACAGCTCACTGTGAGCAGCGCTGAACCAGCCCTTGGCTCACAGGACTCTCCCAGAGGCAGATGCCACACTGGAACCTGGCCATGCTGCCCCCTCTGCCACAGCCTGAGCAAAGACGCCAAGCCATGCCTTCAACACATAAAGACAACTCCCAGTACGCAAAGATGGATTTTGAAGGCCACTGAGCTCTATTTCCACTCTAATCTGAGTTTTCAGCAAGACTGATGAGCCTCATGCTGCTCTGCAGAGGTCACTCTCACCTGAAGCAGGTGGGGTTGGTTCAGAGGGTACTGAACCAGTCGTGTTTGACAGAGGAGCCCAACTCCACTGTTAACTGTGGTTCTTGGATTTGCTTATGTAGCAATCAGTTTAAACCTACGCTTCTTACTTACCTCAAGCAGAGTCTCAGAAATGCAAGCATGCTGCACTAAGGCACAAAAAATGCAAACAGAAGTTAAGCAGTTCAGTGCTGTTTAACATGCATGAGTTAAATAAAAAGGCAGTTGCCTTACTGTGCAGGAGGATACTAATGCAGTATCTGCAGGCACTGAATTCCTCCAGAGCCCAGAGAACAGAAATGCCTGTTGTAGCCAAACAAGTTTCCTGCAGCCATTCCAAAATACCCTCTGGTCAAAGTGCTATTACAACCCTGGCTGCTGGTTTGGCCTCTGCCTTTCCACTGAGACCACCAGCAAGAAAGCAAATGGGTGTTCTGCATGTTGCTATGAACAGCACAGACAAGATAGAGGAAGAAAATAAACCAGACTGCAGCCTACCCTTGAAAGTTATGCAAGAAGAGAGGTACAAGATGAGCTTTTCCCACAGCAAGAGTTCCAGCTCTGATTGCAAAACCTCGGCAATCATGCAGGGACTCTTCCATGAGGTCTCCTAGGGTCACTATCCACTTCAAAGTCAGCAGAAAGGTGGCACAGCAAGGATCCTACTGCATTGCCACAACTGGCTGGCAGAGAGAGTTGCCTGGGGAAAGCCAGAATGCTGCAGCCATCACTCCCAGCACTGTCTGAATTTACAGACTGGAATGCCATGAGTACTCATGGCTGGCTGTGTCATGGCTCACTGGGTGTACAAGCCCCACTTCATACTCTGCTGGTTTCAGGACTAGTGCTCAAGCTCAAGCATTCATTTTTTTAATGCTTGTCCCTCTCTTCTCCCTTTCTTCCCAAACCTGAGTTTTACCACCTGGCAAAAAAATGGCTCACACCAAACTCAAGCCAGAGTGGGACCCAACATACACAGACAACATGCCCATACAAAGGGACCTTTTGTGCTAGACTCACATAAGCTTAGGTACAATATTGACCAGAGTACTACTCTCATAAGCTTCTCTTTATAACATTTTTTTTTTTCCTGAAAAACAACTGTCTTTCTAAAATTCTCTAGCCATAGAAACTGACTGCAAACATCTGTAAAATTTACCTTCTTTGTTAACCTGTGGTGTTTTGTTTGAAATTAAAATGTAGCCACATTTTCAAGCCCATCTGGTTGAATTTGTTAGATTGAAGCCTCCGGTAACTGCAGCCTTGTAGAAACCATGTGTCTTGTCTAGACTAGTTAGACAGTTTGTATCTACAGAGAAATATGCACTTCCTAATACAATCTATTCAAGAAGGATCATCTCTGTGAGGGCAACACTCTTTCCATGGACCATGAAGGAAACTTGGTCAACTTAGATTAAGGGACTACACTTTATATTTCTAACATCAAGTGAGACAAGTCCCTTTCCTCACTGAAGATGTGCTATCAAGTTCCTTTTACCATGTAGACTTTTCCCACAATATAAACTCATCATTTAATATTACTTTCATATAGATTGCAGGCTCTAATATATCAAGATTAATTTCTAACAGCCATTAAGCAACCAGAAGTGAAATTACTTTAAGAACCCTCGAGATTAATTTCCTTTCCATTCATTCAAGGTTCATGTTCTTTGTTTCCTCTTGCAATAATTTAAGAGACAAACCACTGCTAGGAACAGTAAGTGTCCCTCCACCCCCTCCAGCTGACAAAAATTGGCAGAGTTCAAGAGAAATCTCAGCAAATGGGAGAGAAAAAAATTCACAAAGAGCAATCACTACAGATATTGAGATTTATTGCTGATTTTCCCTTTCTGAAAGGCTGTCAAACTGCCACAGTTCCAGAAGGGGATTATCTCCACAAGCCCTTTGGCCTCAGTCCCTGTGCCAGTTCAGACAACATGACTAGAGACCTGTGTGTGGCAGCTTGCTGCTTACAGAACAGCTGGAGGCAAAATCCATCCTTCCAGATCCTGAATTTATACGTTGTTTGGTATGACCTGCTGTCTGCTTCAAACAAAAAAAAAACCACCGGGAGCATCCTGTGGGGAATGCTGCTTTTCCTGAGTTTAGCTCCCTGTGTAAGAAGCTGCTACTGAGTAGTGCTCACACAGAGCCATCAGCATGATACAGTGCAGTTTTTTATTTACCACATCAATCTGATATAGTTGGTCTTGTGCTTTGAGGCAAAGGCTCCTTACCATCTTTGCCAACTATGCTGCTCCCTTACCAGCACCAGTAATAGCACACGTTCTTTTCTTAATTGAAAAAAAAAAAAATAGATCCCTTTCCTCATGTTTGGTCGCACTTCTTCATTCCTGCTGCTGCTTTTTTTTCGTGATAGTGTCTCTAGGCTGCAAGTCAGTTCTTTTCCAACTGGTGAGATCTGGTTCCTCTTTATGTGCCTGTCCTTTCAGTGTAAACAAGCAATGCTTCTCCAACTCCACCGATCACAAGGCTGTAAACAAAGTATATCACAAATTTAGCATCATGCAAGTCCTTCCACTTGATACAAAAAGGTATTACTTTATCTAAACATATTCCAACCTAGAGACAGTTACCCAGGTGATTTTTTTCATTTGCCTTGCTAAGAAAATGCTGAAACCCAAAATATCTTATTTAAATGATCTCATCAGAAACTACCTTTCCTGTGTTTTTGGGCTGGTGCTATTCAGTGAAAATGCACAGACAGTAATCTAAATGGAGAAGGTTGCCCCTAGTTACAAGAATAGCTGCACACCCCTACACCTGCAAGAATAGGAAAGGTAGGCAAGAAAGTTTGAACCTTATTAGCTTATTGATTCCCTCTTACAATTTCTGTTTGTGTTTTGTCCTGAAAACTTTCCCTTCACAATATCAGTAGCAGATGTAAAGCCTAAGTTTTGTGGACAAGGTGAAATCTGGGGAAACCTTTTCACCTTGGGGTGATCCCATTGGCATAGTGAGGCCAGTAGAAATTCCTGTGTTTGCCTCCCTTAGTGAGGTGAAAGGAGCTGCCCCAGCCAAAAAGGCACATGTGCCCAAGCACTTCTTTCCTGTGCTGTTCACAGCACAGCCGTGGCACTAAGGCTGCTCCCCAAGAGTCAGCCTAGGGGCTGGGCTCCAAGTCAGGATGAATGGTTTTACAAAAACCTTCACTCAAATATGCTATCAAACCACTCAGTGCATGCAATAGTTAATAATCCCCAAGTCTCCTCTTTTATCTCTCACCGCTGACAGGAATATGGTAAGATGCCGACTCTTCTCCCCTTTTAGAAAAGTGCAAAGCTAAGTGTACTGACCTTTCATCTTAGCCCCATGGCTTAATTAGCTTATGAAACAGAAAAGCTCCTTACTGAACTTTATAAACAAAACAAACTTCTGTTAAGTTCATTTCTAAGAGTACTTTTTTTTTCCCTTGGAAAAAAAAAAGCATGTAAAGCTGAAGGCTCTTTGGTTTAATAGCATTACATTCACTTAAATCTTAGTTTTGCTGAGCTGTTTTAAAAACCACATAATTGCCCTTGTTCCTGAGAGGAAAAAAATATTGTATAACAACAGCATGACATCCTACAATTACACAGTAATAAGCCCTGGAAAGGAGGTGCTACAGACAGTCTGTGACGTCCGCTGGGAAGACAGAATAGCTTTGGTGTGGAATTACCAACAAGTAGCAAAAGGCTGCAAGGGGTGCAAGCTTTTCAAAAAGGTAACAACGTCTGAGTGTTTTTTTTCTGGAGAGGGTTAACCCCCATATCTTATTTCAGCTCCAGTTATAAACACACTCTATGCATCTATTCCTTTGGAATCTATGGTTGGATATAATATACACTTTGTCCTAAAGGAAAACAAAACCAAAACACTGCATACAGAAGACCTTAGAAATTTTTTTCTATAGTTGTGCTGTTTTCTGAATTTTTAACAGAGATTAAAAAATAAATCTGTCTCTGACATACCATTTCAAAAATGAGACTGGCACTTATGTACAAAAGATAATAAACTGCTCAGCCTTGTTCTGGAAAAAGATGCCAGTACCAGAGCTGTTCTTTAATATCATATGTCTTACATCAGAGAAGAAGAATCCCTTTCTGAAGGATTTGAAATCTTGGGATCCACATGCCCATGCAGTCCAAATTACTAGGCAAATGGAAACCATTGTTATATCTTCAAGATGAAGCAGAGCAAAAACCATGGCTAAATGCCAGCCCTTGATTTTACCTTCATTTTCCCATGTGGCAAACTTTCCAGCTTCTGTTTATAGTGGGGTGACAGCTAACTGCACTTGCCCATAATTCAAAAATGAACATATGATATTGTCCATGACCACACTGGAGCAGCACTAAAATCCTCCATGATTAATGTTCTCATGAGTACTTTGCAGCTGCTATCATCCAACAAACTATTTCCAGAGCTTTGCTGCTAAGTCAAGGCATTGCCAATGCACAAGCACTAACAAAATAAAAATTTTTAAAAAAATTGTTTTCTTTTTAAATTATGACAATCAAAGTGTAACAGTGGCCAAAGGGCTAAAGCAAATTTTCTTTTAAACATACAGATGTGTTCATAATTTATAGAAGTTTCAATCCATGAAGTTTCAGAAGTTTCAGTCCATTTATAGAAGTTTCAGGTGGCATGTGTGCAAATATATGGGTCCATGTGCTCACATTAACAAAGGTACACAGTAATAAAGGTACACATTAATTTTTAGTGCACATCAGTGAATACAGATGTATAATCAAAGTCTGCCTCTAGCACACACGTGACAGACGTGCACAAACACATGCAAAACACTGTGAAGAGCAGCAGGTTAATGGCCTAGACTAGGAGTGTTCTGTAGGTGCTTTGACATTGGTTAAGTCTCTCACATGCACAGGCAGCATGTATTTTCTAGAACCAAAAAAAAATGCACAACTTACTTCAGCATTTGAGACTACACGTGCCTAAAATACAGATAGGAATCCATATTAACACATAAGTAAATGGGGCCAGTGTGAACAGGAGATTCTCCTTTCTATATGGCTCTTATCACACCTGAAGAAAGGATATGCAAATTCCATTCAGTGCAGAGCTGAATCTTTAGGATGGCAATCAAACTGAATGAATCATGAATCAAGAGGAAAGAAGGAAGCTTAAAGCTTTTCAAAAGTAGATTTTTATTTCCATTAACAAATCTGTCCTCAGAGACACATGCCTAACCCCATATTGAGCAGTTATTTGCATGGCAGAAGCATTTAGGAATATCAGCCATGCTCTGTGATTCCCTTTTCACTGTGTGCTACACAAACACAGATCGAAAACACTGCCTTTAACCAAAGGAGTTTGCACCCCAATCCTTTATATTACTACCTAAAAAATTCAGGTTAGGTGGTTTATACTGTGTGGCCACACATTACAAAATCCAGATACAGCTCTGGAAAAAGTTTATTATCATTACTTTTCTCCAGTTTAATTTTATGCATTCACAGTGTACAGTGTGTTAGGGAAACTTGAATGCACCCTCTTGGTTAAAAAGGTGCTGTCAGCAAACCTTGATTCCTGTTTTTTACTTCCAGTTCCACCACTAAATTGCAGCATGACTTTGAATGGGTCATTTATTTGCCTATTGGATCCATTTGCCTCACTGTAAAATGTGCTGACTGAATTGTGGTGAGGCTTAATGTCCAAGATGTCCGTGCTCTCCCACAGAGGCTGAAGAAACACTCTTCTATTACTGTATTGCATCCATCACTGCACACCTGGTTCTCCTTACATACAAAATAATACTGACAGCAATAGAACTTGACACTTAAAAATATTTCCACATGAAGCACTGTGTGAAAATTCATCTTTACTGTTTAAACAAAAAGCTCATGTAGGCACTTACCAAGAAATGGTTAGAACATTGGCGGTCATGACAAAGAAGAACGGTGATAAGCTAGCAGTGATAACCTGTTAAATTGAAAAGAAGGAAAAACTACTTTGTGAACTTGTGATATCACAACTGAAAACTAAAATACTTTTGCTGAAATTCAATTTCCATGTGTGCAGTCATATCTTCTTTTAGTTGAAGATAGTATGATAGTCACATATCACAATTCAATTTTGACTTGGAAACCAGGAGACAGCAGAGGCAGGGCAGGGAACCAGAGCAGGGAACCTTCTCACATATCCCTAGCAGCCTGCTGGCTTTTACTTGTTGACAGCAGATGGGGGAGAGCAGTCAGATCCCAGGTTTGGAAAGCCTTACATTTCTGAGGAGAATGAGAGCTTGAAATGTGTTTGGAGGTGTATCAAAACAAACAAACAAACAAAAAGACCTAACAGGATACAGGGCTAAGAAAAACAACACAACTTCAGTAGGTTTATGTTACAAGTCTCTCATTACCCCCAGGTGTCCTAGGCAGAGGAGCTAGAGACAAATGACTACACTTTTCACGTACTGATCCCAGAAGCAGCGAGATCCTGACGTACAATGGTTTGTAACAGATCCCTGCCTCAGCAGCTACGGAGCCACCACATCTGCAGCCTGCGTGCAGTTTTGGATGTTTTGCTGCCAGATGGATAATGTAAAATGGAAAGAGTTCAAAGAACAGTGACAGAGTCATTAGACGGGGGGATTGATTTTCAGTCAACAGTTAGGATAAGCAATGCCTGTGGGAAAGGAAGGCTTGGTAGTGGTTTACAAAAACTTGGGAAACACAAGCACTGAGGAATGAAAGGAACTATTTAGGTTAATATAAAATTGCCCAAAGAAAAAAGATGAAATTAAGAAACAAAACATTTAAACAATTATCAGCTAAGGTTTCCTAATCATTGTTTGCCTAGTTGACTCCCGGGGAGACAGCAGAAACTTCATTCTGTAATCTATTACTTGTTAAAGCATTACTACATGTGCAGTAGGGAAGAAAATGCCATTTCAGAGTAGATTCTGTGCACCTGAGCTTGGACTAACAGTGTGCTAGTTAATACCTGCTACAATTGTTATGGCCACATATTAAAAGGCAGGCTCTGAATCTGCCTGGAGTGTAATCAGTGCATGATCACATGCAGGAGTGGCAGGTGAAAAAGAGAAGGTTGTGCATCCTCTCTGAAGTCCCACTCTATGAGTTAGGTGGAGAGGGGACAACAGTCTAAATGCAGCAGTGAGACCATGCAATGGCACAGGAGCTAAGGTGTTCAGTGGGGACTACACCAGGACTGTCTCCTCTGACCTCTTTGGGGATGTTTTCTACTTTAGGGAGATTCAGGCATGCAGGTGGCTTTTTTCTTCCTAGGTATTACCATAACAGGCCCCTGTCAGAGGAATGAGGTCGGAGATGGACTTGATTCAGACAGGATAACCTGCAGGCCCACTCCATCCCTGCTCAGCAACCAAATTGGTGGTACCAGTACAACCACAGACACACCTCCAGATACAAACTTCATCTGACTTCAGTGTTTTCACACTGCCAGCCACAGCAGTGTACAGCACAGGAAATGCTGTATAGCTCTAAGCTAACAGAAAAAGTGAGCTCTTACTGTTAGGGAAAATCAAAGATACGTATCTACATCTGTTGCCTTGTAAGCAAATATACAACTTAACATGTATACCCAAAAGATACTGACAGAGGACAAAGACAAGTCACAAACAGAGTTATGCTTCAAAACTCAAGATCATATTGCAACTGTGCACATTCAGTGGCCTGTCTCATAGTTATTTGCGGCCAGAGAGAGCTGACACCTACTCTAAACAGTGGAAGTTAACTATTCAGGAGCTGAATCTTTCATGCACTTTACCTAAAACCCAGCTGCAAGGCTGAATAGCCATTAGTTCAAAACCAGTGCTCTAAAATACGTTTGCATCTTGTTCTAGTGGGCTGGGTTCTCCTCTTACAAAGAGTGCAGCAGATGCACTGACCTACAAGGAACACTTTCTCATTTACTCTGATGTGAATGCTTGTGGAATTAACTGTACCAAGCTTTTTTTAGGCTAATACTAACTTATTACATAAAAATATACAATACTAATTACCAACCACGTAAACAGAAACTAACAAAGGATGGCAGCTGTGGTACACACAGAGTGTTCTTTTCCTTAAGCTCATCTCCTCAAAGAAGCTGAAGTGCTGTGTTTGAGAAGTGGCACAAGTTAAAGTTGTGTCACCCACTCCCTTGTTGAGCCCTGTTTATTAGAAACTTGAGAAGAGGCCAAGGGCAGAGAAACAGGCATTCAAGAAACCTCCGAAAACAGGCCCTATCAGAAACAATACACCATTCTACTGAGATCATCCCAAACCTCTCCAAAAATGCAGGCTGTAGACTTTTGGACTATTATGGCTGAACACTGTTGTATTTTTGAGAAATTATGTAAGAATCTTTCAGTGCCAAAGACAAACAAAATGTGGGTTGGAAGAGCGCATGAATTAAGTGTGTATAAGGAAAGAAAAAACAAATCACAAACAAACCAAAAGGAAAAGACATTGCTAAAATATCTACCTTTGATTATTTATCTAAAAGAAGAACATGTTTAAAAATTAAAAACAAGCTTTCAGAGAAGCTAACAATGTGATTTGTTCCAAGGGAAGAATCTAAATCCTAGAGACACAGTAGAGAAGGTAATTTTACTTTAAGTACATTTCAGTATTATCTGAAGTGTTTTAAGTGCATATTTAGTTTGAAAAAAACCCCACCCACACTGATGTTCTGAATGGCCTTAAAAAAAAAAGGGAAAAAAAAAACAACAAAACAAATTCACAACAAGCTAAGTGCAGTAATCTTTCTTTCTTCACTTTAAAGGTCACAGTTGTCCTCCTAGGCATTCAGATACTTTAGTAAAAGGAATGAGCTTCCAAGAAAAAAGAAAACAAGTTAAAGGGCTAACTAAAGTTAATGATTTCCAAATATATTTTGATGCTGAATCTGTGAAACTAAGAGACGGAAAAGAAAATTTTAATTAGCTATAATATGCCTATTTGGAACAAAGCTCCCCGAGATTTTGACATTCAGTCACTAATTCTATCAAATTATACAGGCTGGATGGTTGAACGCAAACTATTTTGACAACAGGAATAGCTCCATGGACTCTCCCTGCTTTTAAAGGAACTGTGAGCAGTCAGTATTACGAAAGCTACTTTAAAAACATTCATACCCAGAAATTTTCTTACAAAATTCTGACACAGCTTTTGATGATTAGGAAAAAAATTCAAGCGTAGCATAACTTAACAAAACATTTCCATGTGAGCTGAAATTACTCCTAAGAAATCATTTCAAACCCTTTCTTGCATGAAAAAACAAAACAAAGCAAAACAACATCCCTTCAAGATTGTCACTTAAAATAAATCAGTCAAAGTTTATTCTGTCATTCCATTATACTGCAAAAATGAGACCCATTTTAAAGAAACAGTTTATTAGCACCTATTTGTCTTGATTCCAGCTATTTCTGTAGTTCAAATCACTGAGTTATTCAAAGTAATTTTAAAAATAACCAAAAATCTTGGCATTTCAAATTGTGCTTTGTACCTCAACCAAATCCAGTTCTAGTTCTTTACAATGTGTATCAGCATTGCAGGAAATAAGTGTATCCTTGTAATGGATATTTATCTGAGATTAGGTCTGAGGAGAGTGGGCTGACCCCCCCCCCCCCACAAGAGATTGGGCCTGAATAGTCAGATAACAAAACACAGAAATATTCCAATATTCTTCACATAAATACTCTTGTACAAGGGCTGAACAGGAACTAGGAGAAAAAGAGCAACTCAGTCAGTTAGATGTTTCAAACTTACTGGTTACAGAAGATTGCCAAATTCAGGTCTCCACATAAAAGGTGAAAACTTCAGGTGTCCCCATTATTCTAGGAACCAGAGACGGGCTCGGGTGCCATAAAACATTCCACACATTGCTTACATTGCCATGTACATTTAATAAGCTCCTATCAAGGACAACACAGCACTCAACCTCAAGATCAAAATAAATTAATTCAATTCCAGAGCTCTAGAGTTTGCCCCTAACCAGGCTGAATTAGTGGCAACTAGAAAAAGAATGGCATTGTTGGAATGTTGGGTAACAGACTAAGATCCATAAGACAGAAATATCCCAGTGTGAGGAAGAACTTGTTGCACAGAAGAGATAAATTCAGCACATAAAATCACTGCTGCACAGGAAAAAAGTAGGCATAGGAAAAAATATGCTCCGATGTGTCTGCTTTTTCTAAATCTTCTTTATTGATTCCTGAGTGGAGGGAGGCACAATTGCCACTAGCTTTAAAGGGTTCCCAAGGAACTTTGACAGACTGACCATTGCACAACTCATGATGTGAATGATTCCTCCTTTCTCCCTATCACTTTATGGTCAGATACGAAAAAAATTCCAAAGAGAAAGTAAAATTTGTCTCATAAGTGTTGTTTTAAGAAAACAGGAGGGGAAATGGAATTTCTTTTAGAATAAGAGATTAATTTAGTTTACAGATAACAAAACAAAAAATAAAGACTGGAGAATTTCTTGCTGTATACATTAAGAACAGGTAAGATATTTATTGAGCCAGCTTCCCTCTTAGATATTTTTCTTGAACATATAACATCAGAGAACTCTGATAAGTCTGACACATGGCTTGAAGACAGGAGATGGTTCCTGGTCCTTGGCAATGCACAAATTTGGATCCTGGAAGATAGAGGAATGTGGAACTCTGCTTTCTGTGCTGCCTTGAGTTCTCCACTGACCAGCTGTGGTTATACCACAGACTCTGGAGTGTCCAATTCGATTGGTTCAAATCAGACATCACAGGCCAGATAAAAGTGTCATTCTTGACCAAGCTATCATGGATCCCCTTCAGCCCTGAATTTACAATCAGTTCAGAGAAAGATTTTCAGGCTGCAGAAGCTGGCTGTAGGTTTTGAATACTTAGCATTTTTGAGTTGTTCAGGAAGATATTGTTTATATAGCCAAGAACACAGATGAGGACATTTTCAAAATTT